AAAGAAAAATTTAATTCAATAATATACATTAAAAAAGAAATTCTGAATTCCTTTTATTTATATGTATACAATTAAGGAAATTTATAATGAGAATAAAATCATATTTTGTATGTCTATATAAATACAACACCGAGATGATAAATATCAACATGGTTTTTTTTTTGTTTTTGTTTTTGTTTTTTGTTTTTTCTATTCAACAGGAATTGTCCAAACAAGATACGATAATCGATGAGTTTGTGGATTTAAATTTTGTCGAGATCGTTCAGTTAATTTTGGACATTGAATAAATCCAATTGTTTTTAAATTTGGACAATGTTTGAGCAAAAAAAGGAAGCCATCATCTGTTATTTCAGTACACATTCTCAAATTTATTTCATTTAATGTATGATGAAATGCTGATTGTCCAATAGATATTAATGAATCATCAGTTATATGTGTTTGTGTTAAAGCTAATGAACGAAGATGAGTTAATTGTCGAAGACCATTAATACCTTCATCAGTTATTTTAATACAACCAGTTAAATCAAGTTCCATTAAACGTAAACAGTGTGTGCCAATAGCAATTATACTTTCATCAGTTATTTGTGAACAATTAATTGCACGAATTTTTCTTAATGATGGATATTGTTGAACAAATTGTATTAAACCATAATCAATTATATGTATACCACGTATATATATAATGGACGGATTTAATACGGATGTTGTCGTTGTATGTGGTGGAATTTCATTTTGGTTTGGTGATGATGATTGAAGACGTTTTCGTTCGATTTGTGCACTTAATGAACAACGTGCCATTAATATTAATGATTGATCAGTTATGCCAACACAATCACGAAAATCGAATGTACGTGTTCGACAATTGAGTAAAAGTGGTAAATTATCATCATTTATAAGACCACGGTTGGAAAGCAAAGTAAATAAACGTGCTTTAAGATTAACAGGTAAAGCAATTAATGTTGATGATTGTGTTAAAACAATCGTATTAAAATGATTAACAATTGCATATTCACACAATGCGACTAATTTAGCTACCATGGTCTACACTAAAAAAGAAAAAAAAAGCGGAACCATTAACAACATGTTTTTAAAAACTAAAACCAATTAAATTAACTTTTTAACCATTTAACAGAAAAGAAAAAACAATCACAAAGCAAATTGAAATGTAACAATAAAATAAAATTCAAGGAATAATTAAAATTGTCGTATCTGGCCCTATTAACTATTGCAAATGTACTCATTATAAAAAGATCACATGGATATTTTCAGAAAAAAAAATCAAAGCTTAAATATGTGTTCAAATTATTCAGATAATATATATTGTTTATAGTAGAATGTCGATGTCGATTTTATATGTCAATTATATCAAGTGTAGTAAAGCATTTAGTGAAGTCAATATTTGTAAGTGGAATACCTTGTCGTCGTGCACCCCAAATAGCAGCACCTAAAATTTATCAAATAAACAAGAAATAATTCAAAAGAGAAAAATTGTTGTTTGTTTTTTCCTCATACCAATTGCTGCTGAAGATGTTAATCGAACAAGTTCAACTTTATTAAATGGAATTGAATTTCCATTTGAAAGTGCATCCATGAAACCTAGAGATTAGAAGTTATTTAATAAATAATTCAAATGAAAACATATATAAATATATAGATTATTTAATATTTATTTACCTGGTTTCAAAAATTTCCAACTAAGAAAAACTGAACCAACTGCTACAACTCGTAATTTTCCTTGGTCGTACAAACTTTTTTCAATATGAGATGAAATCGCTCGAAGATGTGTACCTAACATATAACCAGCCTCTTTGAATAATTGTTGACATGCTTCATCATTATTATTTGAAGCCACTATAAATTAAAAAGATTTATTAAATAAAATAATTCTTTTTTTTTTGTTTTTCATAACTAACATTCAGCAATAACTTGAGTAAAACGTGCAATAAAATCTTTTTGAAAATTTTTATAGAAAAAAGTTAAAAGTTGACTCATTTCTTCAACCTATTTAATAAAGAATATGAAAGACTAAAACAAACAAAAAAAAATAATATTTACTTTAAAATATGCTTTTATTGCATCCCTTAATCTTGTTAAATCATGACGTGATAAACTGAAATTATCTGTATGATCAACAACACGTTTTATAGCTCTTTGAGCAATCCAATATGCACTTCCTTCATCACCTAATAAATGTCCCCATCTTAACAAAATAAATTATTAAAAACAAAAATAAAAAAAACCAATCTTATATGTCTTCATTACCCTCCTGCTCCTTTACGCGAACCATCTTTATTATAGACAATACAATTTGAACCTGTCCCAGCAATAATAACAACTCCACCATTTGGTACAGGTCCTAACATGTCTTCACCAATGAAAATTTTACTTGTATCAATATCAAACGATTTAAGTTCTTGTTGTAAATTTAATTGAGAGTCAGCATGTCCACCACCACTTAATACCATACCCTTATATCAAATAAAATACTTTTCTAAACTTTACACATTCAATCTATTCACTTACAACACTAACTATTTGGTCCCAATTAACTTCGCATTGAACAAGAATATCATCGATTAGTTGCTTTAACAATTTAGCCGCATTGTCAAATCCAAGAAGCTTTTTAGAAACAAAAGATTGATTTAAACATGCAAATAACAAATTTATTTACCCAAGGATTTGAGGATCCCGATTGTAATTTCACATAAACCTTACCGGTATCATCAATTAAAACAGCTTCAGTTTTTGTTGCACCACCTTCAATACCAATAAAATATTGTTTCATAATCTAAAGAATATGTAAAACTTAAATTGTTCTCTCATATGAAATAATTCATCATTAAAAAACGAAAAAAAAAAAGAGAACTTTCAATAAAATAATCATACAATAACACAACATCACAAGAGAAAAAAAGAAAACGAAACATACATGACAAATGACAAAAAGAAAAAGAGAGAAGTAAATATACATACATAACAACGAAAGAACGATTAACTAAAGACGAGAAGAAAAAAATGCTACATAGCTACCGGAGGAAAAAAGAAAGGACGACAAATCATATGTAAATGAGACGTATCGTTTAGAGAGTTTTTAACCTCTGATAGAAATGAAAGTTTTTATTTGACAAAATACATACACGAAGAAAAAAAAGAAGAAGAAGAAGAAGAATTTCTAAGTATTTGTCTAATATTACGATATAAACAAACACTATCTGTTATATGAGTTTAAATTACTCGGATATGACTGTGTTGAGTTTATATTCGACTGTTCAGATGTAGTTG